TTCTCTTGTTGAATGGATTTCGCATGGTTTTCAACAACCTTTTGCCTAGAACCAATCATGAATCAGGTAGTACATTGTAGGCTCCCACATTCAGTGTCCCAATTAATCCTCACAAAAATCACAACCAAAGGGTGAGGTGCTTTTTATTAATAAACCCATTTTACTGCGAGGGCAACCTTTGACACAGAGGTACACAGAATCCAATATCACACAATTGGGAAATGCCTGGAGCCAGTTCCAAGCTCCATAGTCCTTGCTTCTACATCCTCTTCCTCTGTAAATAAGGAAAGGAGCCCTGGGGTGTGGCTGTTATACATTGGGCTGCTGACTGCAAGGTCGACAGCTCGAAACCACGAGCCCCTACGAGAGAGAAGGATGACGCTTTCTACTTCCATAGACAGTCACAGTCTCAGAAACCCACAAGGGCAGTTCTTTCTGTCTTTCAGGGTTGCTATGAGTCAGAATTGACTCAATGTCAGTGAGTTATCATCAATAAAGGAATTGGGATTTGGAGAGCTATTGCCTTGCCCAGGGTTACAACCCTGGCCTGTGGCCAAGCCAGGATTGAACCTGGATTGGTGGAGCCCTCCAAGTCCCTTACAAGGTAGCCGTTGTTGCCTCCACTAGGCACGTAAGCAGAGGAGGATGAGCCAGTCAGCTACCATTGACTCCTGTCTCTGGTGGATTCAGGTAGCTATGCCCAGGCCTTCCTACATGGCCTTGGAACTTAGACCAACAAAGGCACCGATCTCTAGTTTCCTGGACACCCCCAACATTTGGCAAGTTAATACTCCTAGTCTTGTTATCAAAAGCACACACTGGGAGTATTACAAAATTGAGATAAGAAGGTAACTAATCTCATTCCATGAAGGACAACAGTAGCAACAAGTGCATATCTTCTTGTGGACAGCTAAGTGAACTTGAAAGTGGGATGGACTGCAACCCAATCCAAAGGAAGACCCAGTCCAATTCTGATCTGCATGTGGGTGCATTGACTTATCAAAGTCAAAGGCTCAAATTCTATCGGTAACTGCTATTTAAACACTGTTCC